GGAATGCACTAGGGTGCTCAGCAAGGCACTAAGGCGCTGGCAGAAGAGAGGGCTGGGCAAGCAGAGGGCGCTGAGAGAGGGCTGGCTGAGCAGAGACTGCATTAGAGTGCTAGGGTGTGCAAGGCAGAGGCGCTGACAGAGGTGCCGGGCACTTGACACTGGCCAGAGGTGAGTGTTGGGCGTAGAGGCACAAGGCACCGAAGATCAACTCTTGGTGTCTTTTCTTGCTGTTTTTGTTCTTTTCCTGATTTGATTTTTGCGATACTTTGTGGTGTTTTTGCTCCTGAGAATCCCATTGAAAGTTTTCACTTTCTTATGCTCTCAACTTAACAGAAGAATTGCTTGGCATGTAGTTTCTCAGCCAGTGGCATCAAAGGAGCAGCTTACATACTTCTAATTGTGGCAGATCCACATGGTCATCAGGATGGTAAGTTTTTTACTTTCTTTACCAGGTGAATTCATGGGTGCAAGAGATTAGGACACAAGGAGCTGAGAGGTTTTGTCTTTTGCTATGGTGAGATTTTAGGTTATCCAAATGGCAATGCATAGTGCCATTGACAACTAATGACAAATTGTAACCATGAGGTGATAAATTATGTATGTCTTTTGATGGTATCACCAGATCAAAATCCAAAACTGCTAGAAATTTTAATTCTGTTTAACAGGCTATTCTAAGAGAGTGAATATTTATTTTTAAGTGAACAGCTTTGTTTTTAATCCTAAATTTATTCTATTTTATAAATTATTATAAGCTTTGAATATTTAAAGTCAAAATTAACTTTTATAATTTAATTTAACTGTATTTGTAAATATAGTATGAAAACTATATTTTATACAAATAGCCTGTTTAAATATCATTATAACATATGAAACCTAACATTAAGTGATGGTATATTAAATGTGGGTTGACATAGTTTTATTAATGTGTAAGATCATGATCAAAACTTCAAGTGTTAATACAAAAAAAATAAACAATTTCAACAATAAGAGTACATATTATATTTTTATATGTAACCTTAACTATTTACAATCTAACTCATTATCAGAAAAACTAAAATAATGTATGCAGTATTTGATTAAGCAGTAATATTTTAAAATCTTTTTCCTAACTGTAAATATAGTTTTCTTAATACGTAATAATATGGAATTACAGTTTCTATAGCATATATATTTACAAAAGATTTTATTAGTAATTATTTTCTTGACTGGATTTGGGTCTAAGTAAACTGCATAATTAAGTAATGTCTTGCTAATAAAAAAGAGTAATAATTATTCTTAGTAATTATTCTCTTTTGTTTGATAATATCTTAATATAAGTTTATCCCATGTAAAAATGTAATTTATATATAACATATTATTATTAATAGCAATTTCATGTATATTTTTTATGGTCTGGTATTTTTCTAAATATATTCATATTTTAAATAATAATTTGTATCTAATATTTTTATTAATGAATATTTATTCTTACTTATGCCTAGGAATATATTTTGTTCTAAATATTTATATTATCAAGTTTACAAGAACTGATTTTTGTGTTCACCTAACATTTGCTGTGAATAATTCCCTCAATTCTTCTTTCCAGTGGAATATAATATTTATTTATTTGATACTATTCCAATTTTAGTTTTTAATATAAAAAATTATAATAATCAAAACAGTATTTTGCTAACTAGGCAGCATATGCTGGGCAAGTGCTAGTTTTAGGATATTTTACTATCTAGTGGTTATTATTCATTTAGATTAATTTATATTTATAATTTATAAATTTTCTTAAACACTTTTTAGTACATTCTTTTTTATTCTACCATTTAATAACAAATTTAATTTTGTGTATATAAATTATAAACATGTTTATAATTATAAACTTTTATTTGATCAATTGGAATAATAAGTAAGAATACTATTAAGCAACGGATTAAATCTTCTAGTGCCAGAGTTTTTTACGTGCAACTGTTTCATGTAAGTCTCCTTGCTATATTTGTAATCTTTTTGTTCCAGGAAATTGGACATAGATTAACTGCAGCACCTTTAGGTGTGTAAGTGACTCTTGGTAGCTTCGCTGCTATCACACAAGTTACCACCACAAACAAAATGAAAACTCCATTGCTTGGAGAAGCGGACCGGAAAGCAAAATTTGACGTTTCCATGGCAGGCCCATTGGCTGGAGAATTTCTCTCGGTTGCAATGGTGGGAGTCGGCCTTTTGTCCTTGGCAAAAGGAGCACCTGAAGGGACACTTGTGCAAATTCCCAGAAGTTCCCAGTGTTGTCTTCCAAGGCCTTTTTTCTGTTGGGACTCGTAGAGAGTTCTTACTGTGTGTTCTCCATTTCTCCTTGTTGGTCGATCTTCCGAGAAGGCCTGCCTCAACGACGTTACTGGTCTATGCTGTGGCACTAGCCGGCGTTGGCATTGTAACCCCGGACTCGCTCTCTCGGTTGCAATGGTGGGAGTCGGCCTTTTGCCCTCGGCAAAAAGAGCCTCTCAAGGGACACTTGCGCAAGTTCCCAGTGTTATCTTCCAAGACCTTTTTCTGTTCGGACTCGTAGAGAGTTCTTACTGTTTCTCCTTGTTGGTCGATCGTCCAAGAAGGCCTGCCTCAACGACGTTACTGATGTTGGCACTTGGAGGCAAATCGTCTATGCTGTGGCGCTAGTGTTGGTCGTTTTGACGCTCTTGCCTTTGTGGGATGGCTTGGCCACCCAGCTTGGCATTGGCATTGGAACCCCGACTCGCTCGATCTATTTATGTGAAAGCTTCCAGGAGAAACGATGGTTTTTTTTTCTTTTTTTGCCTTTCTATCTCGCGGCAAGAAACAATTTTGCACGCATTCGTCGACAGAGAACCTGGTGTTACAACTTACAAGAAGACGGTGGAAAAACTAATCAAAGTGGAGCTTCTATCAGCTATGGTCTTGTGTATCTCCCTCCCACTGGCTTAGATTGGCTTGATCTTGAAGTGGAGGCCGATGAGCGGGAAGGCAAAGCACTTCAGTTCCTGGAACTCACCATCTGTCACAACGAGGAAAGAAAAAAACAACAACTTGCCTGGACGAGGAAGTAGAAGATGCGAAGGCCCTCTGGATCGTTACTGCTCTGGACGTCTAGCAACGATCCAAGCTTGATCCGTGATGATACGTTGTGGTACTTCGAGGATTTCCTTGGCTCTGCCAAGATAATCGCCCAAAATCTTTGCTTTCGGAGTTTTATAATCGTCACACATAGTGTTCAATTCGCCAACACTGGTGTTCGGCAAGCTTTTGTACCTCTTTTCCTTTCCAAATAATTCGCCACCGCTATCCATAGTGTTGACGAATTATTTCACGACGCTTCACGACTCTATCTACAATACCTCCGTGCGTCCGAGGACGCTCGCGCCGCAGCGGCAGTGTCAGCGGACATGCGGAGCTATGCTGCTCACTCGGACGCACTCGTGGACCAGCTGAGCGCCAAGCTTCAGTTCTCGAGGCCATGTCCATCCCGAACAAGAGTGTTCCGCCGGCCACTTCTTTTTACGGCCGTCCTCCTGGTCTGGGATTCGGCGTCCCATTTCCCAACTCTCCATTGGAAGCAAAGATTTTGGGCGATATAAAATAACAATCAGGTCTGGCCAGGATGTGCTGGTACATATTGCTTTCTTACCACGCATTGTTTCAATAGATCTTTGCGAGGTTGCGGACAATCGGCACCCGTGCCGGGCTGGGGCGCGACACCTGCTTTTCTTCCCTGCTCCAGGATGCTTCGCGAGGGATAAATTTTACGGCAGCTCTTCCTCCGCTTCCGACCCTCAGTATTGAGAGGGAAATTTATTTTTACCACGGCAAGTTTTCCAGCTCCTTGCTCCAGGAACTTCGAACATCTCGCTATGGCCTGCTCAACACTCGGCCTTGATGAAGCAGTCGCATGCCGAAGAGCCAGCTCCAGACAGCGGAGAGCTTCACGATGTACGCCGAGAGCGGCCGCTTTTCTGAAGAGACACTTTTTATGCAGCGGATTTGCCTCCAGCACCACATTGCAATCTGCGAGTGCTTCCCAATACCTTTCCAGCCTCAGGAATGCCTCGGCCCCGTTAGATGCAGCCAGGAAAAACTCCTCCACTCGTGATTAAAGCCCTGCATGCAGAGGCTGTATGCCAGAACGTAGCTGCCCTCAGAAAACAATCTGAACTTTCACCACTTAGTTTGAATCCAAAGAAGTAAGAAAAGACCAGCCTGTTTCCTTCAAGTCGGAGAGACCTAGCCTCAACTTCATCCAGCTCACGAGCCTGGTGACCAAGCTTCATTTCGAAGCCATGCACATATGGAACTCCTTATATGAGCCGCAGCGAAGGATTTAGAAATTGCCTTGGGAAACGAAAGCCCTGTAGCCGTTGAGAGAGCCGCTCCTCGACAAAGTGTGACACCAGCTTGCTCCTCGGATCGGCCTAAAGCCCTAACCCCTTAAGCTTTCCTCTTGGATATTTCGGGGAAGACCCGGGTTCTATTCCCGGAAATGAAACTGAGGTGCCGGACATGGGAGCAGCGAGGATGCGGCACGAGAGCTCCATTTAATAACCAAAATGCCTTGTACTTGCAACACCTCAACAGAGTCATCGAAACGGTGGAGTCCGCCGTTGCTATGGGCACTTCCAGCACTCATAAATCACTCGTGTCTGACTCGTGTTTTCCTGACGGCTACAAGCCAATCTGCCCCGGACAACAACCAGATAATGCTCTCCTGGCTCGACCGAGACTAGCTCGGCTGCTGTCAAGGGTGAAGCTGCAGCAAAGGGAGTACGGTGTTCTGGCTTGGCCGGGATTCTTCCTTGCTCTCTGCTCCAGTTCGCCTCTCTATCTCGGTTGCAATGTAGGGAGCTGCTGGCACCGAATCCTAGTGAAAATTCTCCAGCTCGTAGCCTCTCTTTCCATCCTCGACACCATCCTTATCTCATCGCAGACTTCGTAGCTTTTGACGGCCTTCTCTAGAGCTTTCGTATAAAGGATCGACTTATCCAAGGAGTTATCCAAGGAATTAGGGCTAGGGTTTCCTCGTAGGTCGGCGAGAGGAGGAGTGCGGCATGGCGGACGATGTGGGCGAGTTCTACTTGCGCTACTACGTGGGTCACAAGGGCAAGTTTGGGCACGAGTTCCTCGAGTTTGAGTTCCGGCCGGATGGGAAGCTGAGGTACGCCAATAACTCCAACTACAAGAACGACACCATGATCCGCAAGGAGGTCTATGTCACCAACGCTGTGCTCCGGGAGTGCAAGCGCATCATCGTCGACAGCGAGGTATCCATCGATTCTTTCTAGCTTGGCCTCGTATCCTCCTTTGTTCTTGGCAGATCATGAAAGAGGACGATAGCAACTGGCCACAGCCGGACAAGGTCGGGCGCCAGGAGCTGGAGGTTGTGATAGGCAACGAGCACATCTCCTTTGCGACGTCCAAGATTGGATCGCTGCTAGACGTCCAGAGCAGTAACGATCCAGAGGGCCTTCGCATCTTCTACTTCCTCGTCCAGGCAAGTTTCTCTTCCTTTTTTTTCTTTCCTCGTTGTGACAGATGGTGGGTTCCAGGATCTCAAGTGCTTTGCCTTCTCGCTCATCGGCCTCCACTTCAAGATCAAGCCAATCTAAGCCACTGGGAGGGAGATACACAAGACCATAGCTGATAGAAGCTCCATTTTGATTAGTTTTTCCACTGTCTTCTTGTAACACAATCTCGTCACACAGGTTCTGTGTCGACGAATGCGTGCAAAATTGTTTCTTGCCGCGAAATGGAAAGAAAAAAACCATCGTAGCTTTTCCAATGTCAATGCCAAGCTGGGTGGCCAAGCCATCCCACAGCAAGAGCGTCAAAACGACCAACACTAGCGCCACAGCATAGGCGATTTGCCTCCAAGTGCCAATACGTTGAGGCAGGCCTTCTCGGACGATCTCTGTACACAGTAAGAACTCTCTACGAAACGAAAGAACCGAAATACCTGGACGATGATAATGTACAAACCCCAAGGTAAAGACAGTGGACCTCCTAACTGAAGTTTAGTGAGAAGAAAGTCTTAAATGCCTCTACCCAGTCCAAGTAGCACATAAGTGATCAAGCCAGTGACATTCAACACCTTACTCCCGAATGTGGCCTGTATGCACTCACTCAGAGTCATGATCAAGAGATCGATTTTGAGTGAATTACGAACCTGGAGAGCTCTTCATCCCACTGGAAGCAAGTTAAATGCAGTCGTCGTTAATCCACACCTGGGAGGAAATAAGCACACGGAACTTCTAAGAGCTTTTCAAAGACAATGGTGACATCCTCTTACCAGCCAGCTAATGCACTGCAACAGTTCCCGCGTGCAATACACTGCATTGGAAAATTCCACACAGAGCTTCATCAAAACAAACGCACAGTTTACAAAGACCAAAAGCTTACTTGTATCCTAGAGCGGCCCTATTGACGAGTCCCAAGAGAAAAGAGCCTTGGAAGACAACACTGGGAACTTGCGCAAGTGTCGCTTCAGGTGCTCCTTTGGCCGAGAGCAGAAGGCCGACTCCCACCATTGCAACCGAGAGAAACCTCCAGCCAATGGGCCTGCCATGGAAACGTCAAAGTTTGGGTGCATGAAAAGAAAAGGTTACTTCTCCGAGCACTGGATTTTTCAGTTTGTTTGTGGTTGTAACTTGCGTGATAGCACCGAAGCTACCAAGACTCACTTACACACCTAAAGGTGATCTATGTCCAATTTCCTGGAACAAAAACATTAGAAAGATAGCACGGAGTCCCGAGACAGTTGCACGTAAAAAACTCCATATGCGAGCGGAAGAGCTGACTCCACATAAGGCACTACAAGATCTAAATCCGGTGGCTCTGTGGAACTGGACGATCTCGGGTGGAAGCTTTGAAACTTGCAACCACAGCAAAAAAAACAAGAAACCAGGTAAGAATGACTTTCAGGAGAGATGAAAAACGGTGTATGTACCTGTGTGGCAAATCCAAGCTGAAGACTTCCACCAGCCGTGATAAAAAAGAGACGACGTACTGCCAGAGACCCGTTCGACCGGGGAAGTGGGGACGATCCAGTCGCGCTCGATACACAAGTTTGTGGAGCGGAGATCCCGGGGGACGATCTCGTGGCCGTAGTGGAGCGTCTTGACGCACTTGGCGGCGGCGAAGGCGAGGTGGATGCGCAGCGCCAGGCACAGCGGCGGCGCCACCGGGTCGCCACGGTGGAGGACGCCCAGGGTTTCCCCCTGGACGATCGCGCCGCCACCATCGCCGCCATGGACGTCTTCTGCTGGCGGAGATCATCAGTAACAGGAAAGTTCAGGTAGTTGGGAACGTACCTGGTTGGTCGCGCTGGGAGGGCGAACCATGTCCTCCCCATCGTGGATCCCGGCTGAGGCTACTGCCGGATCACGTCAAGGTGCCGCGGGAGCTCGGCATGATCGCGACGATGTGCTTGAATCATGTCAGATGTTTTAGAACGACTGAGACCGCTGATGCAGCAGTTCCCCTTCCGGTAGATCTTCTCTTCTGGCAGAACCAAGAGCTTTTTCTTCGCGTTCGTGAAGTCCGTGCTTCTGTAGCTCAAGGTTAAGAAGTCGGTTACGCAAGACCTGGTGTAAGTGGAAAAGGCTGTGCTTACCCCCGGATTTGAATTGAGTATTTGTTCCCCCCAAAGTTTCGATTTTAACTTGCAATATCGAGTTCTCCTTCCTGGTAGGACATGAGACTTCTTGATTTTGATCGTGGTTAGCCTGAGGGTACAAAGGAAGTCTCAAAGAACTTAGAAAGAATGCCAACTTACTTGGTTCCTCACTCTTCCTCGGAGCTTTGCTCCTCGTCCAAGGCGTAGTCGTCCTCGAGCTCCGGGTTTAAATCCAGCTGCACGAACGGCACCTTGATTACTCCTGGAGCGCACGCTGTTGGAATTGGAGCTGGCGGTGCCACTTCCGGCAGTGGAACCGGATCTCCGGGCTTCCATCCGGGAGGCAGTCCGGGAAGTGTAACCGGAGTGGAGAGGGCGTGAGCTTTCCTGCTGCTGCTTCTTTTGGTGGTGATTTTTTCACAGTTGGCGACGGCAGGAATGGCGCTGGTGGCGGTGCGGTTTCCGGAGCTTTCAAGACGCCCAGATCCATGTCGCTGTAGTGGTAGGGCTGCGTTGCTGCTCCTGAGGGGGCTGACCGAGAAGATAATCGGGTGTAGCTGATCCTATGAGCGTAGGAAACGCGCTCGTCCACCTCGGCGTCCATTGTCTTCCTCTCCTTGGATGAATACCTCCAGCGTGAGCTCCAGGACCTGCTTGGCAAACTCGTCCTTGGCCGCCACCGCCTCCGCGATGCCTGCTCCACGCTCTTGAGATGGCTACCTTGCCACGATTTGCTGCCTGCATTGACCAAGTCTCGATCTGGAGAGGAAAGAGAAGCAAGACGCTTGCTTACCCGCTAGCTCGAGAAGGCGCACTGTGAGGCCCGCCATGTCCTGGAGCAAGATCTGTGTGGAGGAAGCGCCTGAACCGCGCCTCCCTCTGCCATGGCCCTGGGATGCCCTAACCCTAACCAGGGGCCAAAACCCCTTTACACATTCGCGCCAAATTTTGAGCTTGACAAATCCCTAAATGCGAATCCAAATGAGAAAGGGAAAAAGAAAGGGCTGCGCAGCCACCACCTTTCTTTTTTCATTCTCTATAAAAATAAAAATTTGATATCAAAAGTGTGTCCAGACTTCTCACTCACCATCGGAGACCACAAACTCACTAGAAAATCCGACTCTCTTGCTGATGTACTCCTTGACTCTTCGGCGCATCCATTTGCTTCTCCGGTACCAGAGGAGATGCATGTCGGCCTCCAGACGAATGTTGAACCCGAGCTGAAACTTGGACGCCGTGGTCGCGGGCAGATGCCACACAATAACAGGAAAGTCTTCCACGCTGATTTTTGTTCGTCCTCCTCGGAAAGGCGGCTAGATAGAAAGAAAACGAAGTGAAAGGAATCCAAAGGAATAAAGCATGTACCTCGAGGGAACTTAGCCCACAGTATGGTTTGGATGGATTATATTTCATCCCGTTGTGATTCCAGCGAAGTAATTTCCACTCGAGCTGTGCCGTGTTCCCTGGAGCTCCAACATTGATGGACTCGTAGTCCATTGGCTCTTGGAGTGACTGCCCCTCTTCTTTACTATGAACTTTACTGCCCGTAAATCAAGTCGAGCTCCAAGCTCACCTTCGCTGTTCTTGGTGAGAGTGGTGAGAGTGCTGGAGTTGGCATTAGCACCATGGAAATTGTAGTCATATATAGCAATGGCAGAATTTTCCATCTCGCCAAGCTGTGGACTAATATGGAATTTGAAGCGGTATGGGTAAAATCCTAGAGCCTTGGTGTTGATGATTACCTCGTTTTCATCCACACCGAGAAGGAAGTTCTTGATCTCCAGAGCCACTTCAGTGTTGGCGCAGGTTTTCCGTAGGGATGGGAGAATCGCCATTGAGACATCCACGAGCTGCTGGCTCTTGGGTTCGTTGGGCAGATCAAGGCACAGCTGGTCGCGCAGTGCTGTGTCGGATGGGAGCTTCGAGCTGATTTGGATGCAACGGCACTTCCTCCACTCCCCACGAGCTTGTGACAACGATCCACCCATTGCAAAGCAGCGCGGATTTACAAGCGAAAGCCGCCAGCAAGAGTGCTTGATGCCGAAATCTGTGCTAGCGCCAAGCTGCCACAGCCGCGAAGAACTGTCCAAAATCCTGCGATCTCGAAAAGCGACGTGGCATGACACGTGGCCGATGACATCAATATATGACTGGGCAAGTAAAGTAATAGAAGTACTAATGTTGACTTTATATGTCGTTATCATGACTTTGATTTCTCATGACGTGATATGTCCTTATCAGGGACGATTTCAGAGTAGCCCATTGGATGTTGGGGCATTTTACTGTTTGTTTTGTTTGTTCTACATATACCTGAAGTATATGTTGAACAGACAAAAGAAAAGTACCGTCAAAGCCTAGGACTCTTTCGGTGTGCGCGGGCCCACACCATCATCATCTAGTCACTGTTTCATATAGTCACCAGGGGACCCCTCTCGTATCTAGTTCTCGGCCAACTGATGTCATCGGCCACGTGTCATGCCTCCAGACTCGACAACGAGCACGAAGACGACGGCAGCGCTATGAAATTTTTTATTCTTAATATGATTCAGTTCCCCTGTTCATAGTTTACATTCTTGACTTTTTTGGTGGGCACAGGCCGACACCATCATCATGTACTCACTGTTTCATATAGTCACTCGCTTAGTATCCTGGCCAGCTGTTTTGATTTTTTAATATATTAAAAATTAAATTGAAATAGTATCAAGAATTGAGGGAATTATGCTGAAAAAATGCTAGATGAATACAAAATGTAGCTTGAATTTAGAACAAAATATACTCCTAGGCATAAGTAAGAATAAATATTCATTAATAAAAATATTAGATAAAAATTATTATTTGGAAATATGAATATACTTAATGAATATAATTATTTGTAAATATATATGTTATAGAAACTATAAATTTAAATATTATATTCCATAGTATTATGCACTAATAAACTATATTTGTAGTTAGTAAAAAGATTTTAAAATATTACTGTCTAATCAAATACTGCATACATTATCTTAGTTTTTTTTTATTATAATGAGTTAGATTATAAGTAACTAAGGCTACATATAAAAATATAACATATACTCTGATTGTTAAAGTTATTTAAATTTTTTGTATTAACAATTGAAGTTTTGGTCATAGTCCTACACATTCATAAAACTAAGTCAACCCACATTTGATATACCATCACCTGCTATTGGGTTCTATATATTTTAGTGATATTTAGATAGACCATTTGTACAAAATATAATTTTCTTATTATATTTGTAAATACTGCTAAATTAAATTATAAAAGTTACTTTTTGACCTAAAATATTCAAAGATTCTAATACTTGAATAAGTTTAGGTAAAGTTGATTATTTTATTCATAAAGCATTAAAAATACAGATTGATTTCAGTTTCTCAGAATTCTAGAATATTCTCACAATAGAGCAGAATATGCTCCTTTCAGAATATCCTTATGTGCTATAAAAGATTCTCACAAAAACCCATAACAAACCTCGTCTTTACTACTAACATGATTTGTCAATAACTACTCGGATGTTCTTGGCACCAAATTTTCAAAATGGCTTGGATCAAGCGAGCAAAAGAGAGATATAGGGACAGGGGGAAAAGGAAGTCTATTTGATTGGCTTGCCAGCTGGTTCCAAACGGTGCTCTACAGACAAAAGTTTAGCTATTTGGACCTCCACACAGTCCAGAGCAAGGGCGATGGTTTGGTGCTCCGGGCGGCAGGGTTTTGGATTGGAGATCGCGATCGATCTGCCCAGGGTATGGATTTCTGGACAGGGTCCTTGCAATCTCTTGCATTGTTTTGCGGGATTGCTACATTGATGCTGTGATTCTGTGCGCTTCGGTGCTTGTTTTGTGTGATTTGATGCTCAGGAGGGTCAGATCTCACCTGCATTCTTAGATTTGCCCCCCCAGGAACATTCCATTGGGCCCTAATGGGATTATTGGAATTCTTTGCAAAGTCATGCCGCTTTTCAGATGAACAATGTGATGTCTCAACTTCTCGAGCTCGGAGCCAACTTCATTTCTCGTTTCTTCAACGTGCTTAGAACAGTTTGCTTGTGTTCTCTTCTCAGGTAAACCCAGGGTCTAGTCGTGTTAGAGTTCGCTCCAGCCCAGCCGATCCTAATAAATTTTGCATACTAGGGGTGCCACTATACTTCAATCTTTGCATATATTAGTCCAATCTCCCACGTTAAATTTGTTACATCCATCTTTGCTCACCTAAAGCCTTACTTTTGAATTTGTATATCTATCACAATAAGGAGGAGTTGCCGAACTTTCTGGGCCGCCAGATCCAGCCAATTGCAGCCATCCGATGGAGGGTAACTGTAAAAGGGTTATTTCTTTAACCACGCGAGAAATGTGATTGTTGAGCTATATGTGCTTAGAACAGTTTGTTCCGGTGGCTTTTGAATATATATTTTGGATATATATCCAAAAATATATATATTTTTGTACAGTCGTGTTAGAGTTCGCTCCAGCCCAGCCGATCCTAATAAATTTTGCATACTAGGGGTGCCACTACACTTTTGGATATATATATGCTATATATATATCCAAATATTTTTTTTTGCCACACGTTTCTCTTTTCACATTCAGAAAACGTTGCAGAGTGCTATTTTGATGAAAGCAAGAATTCTAAAAAGAGGATGTTTTCCTAAACAACAATGGAAAAACATACAAGGTGACAATAGGAATGGAAATTGTTTTGATTTCCAAAAAGGAGTTCAAAATCGGCAGGTCCAGAGTTGCAAGCACATCATTTTCTTGTACCACAATCTCGTCACACAGGTTCTCTGTCAACGAATGCGTGAAAAATTGTTTCTTGCCGCGAAATGGAAAGAAAAAAAAGCCATCGTTTCTCCTGGAAGCTTTCACATAAATAGATCGAGTGAGTCTGGGGTTCCAATGCCAATGCCAAGCTGGGTGGCCAAGCCATCCCACAACGGCAAGAGCGTCAAAACGACCAACACTAGCGCCACAGCATAGACGATTTGCCTCCAAGTGCCAACACCAGTAACGTCGTTGAGGCAGGCCTTCTCGGACGATCTCTGTATCGGAAAACACACAGTAAGAACTCTCTAAGAAACGAAAGAACCGACGTACCTGGACGATGATAATGTACAAACCCCACGGCAAAGACAGTGGACCTCCCAACTGCGTGAACGTTGAGTGAGAAGAAAGGCTTAAACGTTTCTAAGATTACCACTCCCAGTCCGAGTAGCACGTAAGTGATCAAGCCAGCGATATTCAACACCTTGCTCCCGAATGCGGCCTGTATGCACTCACTCAGAGTCATGATCAAGAGTTCGATTTTGAGTGAATTATGAACCTGGAGTGCTCTTCCTCCGTCGATACATCCCACTGGAAGCAAGTTGAATGCTGTCGTCGTTAGTCCACACCTGGGAGGAAACAAGCACACGGAACTTCTAAGAGCTTTTCAAAGACAATGGTGACATCCTCTTACCAGCCAGCTATTACCAGCGGATGCACTGCAACAGTTCCCGCGTGCAATACACTGCATTGGAAAATTCCACACAGAGCTTCATCAAAACAAACGCACAGATTACAAAGACCAAAAGCTTACTCGTATCCTAGAGCGGCCCTGGCGACCAGTCCCAAGAGAAAAGAGCCTTGGAAGACAACACTGGGAACTTGCACAAGTGTCCCTTCAGGTGCTCCTTTTGCCGAGAGCAAAAGGCCGACTCCCACCATTGCAACCGAGAGAAATCCTCCAGCCAATGGGCCTGCCATGGAAACGTCAAATTTTGCTTTCCGGTCTGGGCATATAGATTTGAACTGCATGATGCAGGAAAATAAAAGGTTACTTCTCCAAGCACTGGATTTTTCAGTTTTTTTATGGTGCTAACCTGCGTGATAGCACCGAAGCTGCCAAGAGTAATATTTGGAATGAAGTAAGGAATTCCCAGCTTCACACCTAAAGGTGCTGCAGCTAATCTATGTCCAATCTCCTGAAACAAAAACATTAGAAAGAGCAGATAACTCGGATTCCGAGGAGCTTACATGAAACAGTTGCACGCCAAAAACTCCATATGCGAGCGGAAGAGCTGACTCCACATAAGGCACTAGAAGATCTAAATCCGGTGGCTCCGTGGATTCAGGATTTGTGAAGTACTGGACTATCTCGGGTGGAAGCTTTGAAACTTGCAACTACAAAAAGAAAAAAGAAAAAGAGGTATGAATGACTTACAGGAGAGATGAAGAGTACCTGTGTGGCAAATCCAAGCTGAAGACAAGCACCAGCCGTGATAAAAAAGAGGACCGCAGCGACGACGTACTGCCAGAGGCCCGTCCGTCCGGTGTCCGAGGCCTCCTTCCTGAGCAGTAGAAAACTCACTCGAGGACCTCCCCGAGGATCTGGTTCTTCAGAGTTTGGCTCTTCAACCATGAAGAGATCGTACTTGTTGCCGATCAGCTCACGGACACCCTTTTGGAGCTTCGCAAAGACCTCTTCTCGCTGTCCTCGAAGGTTTCCGAGGAAGAGAATGCCTTCGCCAAGAACTCCGAAAGGCTCCTGGCCTGTCACCCAGAAGGTCGTGTAGCCAAAAACCTTGTCTTTGAGCAGCTTCACGTCTTCTGGATCGACTTTCTCTGGACCGACCAGCTCCATGAATCTGAAGGCATCAAGCTGAACAGTCTTAGGCCCTGCTTGTTGGAAGCCATTTTGTGGCTATGGCATGCACACAAAACAAGAAAAATTCATTCAGAAGAAGCTCGCTAGCTGGTGCAAACTGAAAAAGACAGAAAGAACGCAAATATCAAAGAAGAAAGAAGAAAAACGAAAGGAACAAAGAATCTCATCGAGAAGAAAATTCTTCTAAGACCAGCCAAGCTCGTTAGCTTGCCAACTTAAGAAGAAAGAAAGAACGCAAAGATAACAGAAAATCTTGGCGAGAAGGAAATTCTAAGACCAGCCAAGCGGGCTAGCAGGAACTTTCGAAAGAAAAAATGATTGGAAGGCTTACCGGTTGATGTGACGAAGAACTTGGCTTGGTCTCGTCCTCTCCATCTTCAGTAGCAGTGGAAGCCGACGATTTTCCATTCTTTCCATCCTTTTCTCCATCGTCTGGACCACTCTCACACTTGACTACGTGAAAATTCCTCCTCCCGATTCGCAGCCTGCCACATTCTAGCCTAATTCCCCTACACCGCGAAGATTTGGTGATGGAGAAGCTGCGTGACCTAATCGAGGCATCCGAGAAGAGGGCAACGCACCCTGTGGGAGCCGTCGTGTTGAGCGTGCCCAGGCGCTCCATCGCCATCGCCATTGCCGCTAATCCATTACCATCGCAGCGAAATCGAGGAGGAAAGAAAACCTTGGCATCTCTCTCTCTTTCTCTTTCCCTCGCGCGAGCTCTCACGAAGCTCGCATTGACAAAAGATAATGATTTCACGTGGCGCGATCCGGGCCGTCCGCCCTTTGATACCGTTAGCAAAGCGAGGTATATCCTTGCTGCTGTTTAAATCTAGGGTTCTTGGCTGGAGTGAGAGCTAGGGTTTCTTCGATGGCGCTGGAATGGGCGGGATTGATGATTGTCGTGGCCGCGGAGTCGCTACTGCTGCTCTTCTTGACGTTCCCATGGCCGGCGAAATTCCGGAGTAGCATCATCGGCGTCTCGAGCAGCATCCTCCGCCCTCTATTGGCGGTTCTTCCCTTCGCAGGATTCCTCCTCCTCGACGTCTACATGAAGTATGAGAATAGGATCCAGTGCCAGGCGGGGAGCTGCACGGCGATGGATCGCGAGCACTACGCCAAATCGGTGATGAAGAGCCAGCGCAATGGCATACTTGGGGTTTTCGCGATTCTGCTCTACTGGTTCTCGTACCGCGTCACGCACATCCTCGTGGATCTGGAGAAGACCACCAAGCAGATCAGTGTGAAGAGGGATTGATCGATCTATCGATGGATTCTCTTCGCGGTTCTCTTCCTTGTCTCCCACGCTTACACGTCAAAAATAAAAATACTAGAGTATTCGCTCGTCTAGTCGGATCTGGGCCGTTGGTTTTTGCCGCGTGGAATTGTCGCCGTTGGATCTGGAAGAGGATAAAGAGGTTTAGGGGAAAACTGTTTCTTAGGGTTCTTGGCGATGGGAAACATGACGACGGAACAATGCGTCGCGTTCTTGCAGAAGAAATCCACCACGAATGGCGATTCGGTGTTCTCGCATCTATCGCAACTCATCCAATTCGTAAGCAAGCAAACATTCGTTAAAGTTCCAAATGTTATCTATCTTTGCGCAGCTTGTTGCCACAAAGCCGGATAGCGCTGTGGATCTCTTGGAGTTGAGCTTGCTTCTCAAACAGACCAGATTTATTCCAGAGGAAGGCCCCAAAGTTCCACGCTCGTGGAAATTCCACGCAAAGGAGAAGTTCGTCAAGCAGTTCATCAGCCTGCAGAGGTATCCTTCCCGGGGCAACTACAAAACCAAAATCCTTGGTAAAGTTTTTCTTCTTCGTTTTCCCTTGATTCCAAGGAGTGAAACTTCTCTTTTCGATTTTCCAGTCACCCGGATCGAAAGCCTCCCCCCCTGGAATCCCAGGAACAAAATGGTGACGAAGAGGAAACGAAAGAAGAAAATGATCCTGCCTATAGCGCAGAGAATTACCTCTACGACTCGATCTTCTTCGAGGCCGTTGGAATGGGGCTGGGCCGAGCCGAGAACTACCAAGTTGTCTTGGCGATGAGACAGCTCGCGAGCACGAAGATGGTGCTAAAGATGAGGTTCTTCGGCAAGTTCTTTGGGATCAAGAGGTAAGAACTTTCACTCGCTTTTCTATCCAACTGTTGATACGAAGTTTTCATCTGGCAGCAACTACTACGTGTTTGAGACAACTAGTAAGTCCGTATCTCTGGAAGAAGCTGCAAAGCTCCCTTCCTATGGCGTTGAAGCGATTCCAAAAGAAAATGGAATTGGACCGAATGGGCACACGTACTGGGTTTGTAGCCGGCCAGGCGCCGAGTTTTACAGGCTTCCAGACGTGACGCCGCTGCAAATCAAGACCGCGAGGCAGATAAAAAAGTTCTTGACTGGAGACTTGAAGGTATATTGTAGAGTTCGCAAAATTGCTTACTTGGATTTCATGAGCTCTTGAGAAAACTCCGCCGTGACGCTTCCAGGCTGAAGTTTCGGCGTTTCCAGTGTTCCCTGGACTCGAGGAGAACTATCTGAGAGCACAGATCGCAAGAATATCAGCCACAACAGAACTTGCTATCAAAGGATTTTACAAGGTTGGAGTTTCTTTCTACCTGTTTAACCTCTGATGGTTTGTTCCTCGTTGCGAAGGTTGCTGAGGCTGAAGAGGGAGGAGCCGGCGGTGGGAACCTTGAAAAGAGTGAGGAATACGCACCGCTAGGATTTGCCGAGCTGAAAACACTGGAAAACTGGGTACACAAGAACCAGTACCTCAACCTGCAAGGCCGGACGGCTCTCTACGTTCCCGAGAAAAAGGAGGAAGAGGGCGAAGAAGGTGGTGGCGAGGAGAAAGAAGAGAAGCCTCCCAGTCCCGAGGAGACTGAAGTGATCCCGGAGCGGCTAACTTCGGTGGACACGGACGCCGAGCTGATGGAAGGATGGAAGCAGTGGTCGTTTATAACCAGCTCGACTCACAAGAACCTCAAGCACCAGGTGATCGGGTTGCGGTCTATACTCTGGCCTGGTGCTTTCACAGTGGTGACTCCGACTGGCTTTAGCAACGTCTACATCGGCTGGGGAAGGAAGCTGAGACACTACGTCCCACCATTACCACCACCTGTGATGAAGGAATTCGAAGGGCTCGGACCGGAAAGGCGTGATCTTCCTCCCATTCCTAAGCCGCCAGAGCCTGTGAATGTAGAGGGCGAGGGTGAAGAGGCGCCGCCAGCAGAGTAGAAACACTCTTTGGATGGACAATTAGATGATTGTCGTGCTAAGTTTCAAAACGCAAAAGAAGAGCACTAGCTACAAATGCAGGGATTTCTTCCACTTTCTCGAATTTTGTGACATCACACTATAATATTTAAAATATAATATGTATATATTTATGTATATATATATATATCTTAAACAAGTAAGACCTTGCCCCCACTGGCAACTCTCTCAGATTCCTCAATAGCTTTGTGATACTCTTCAAATTCAAACCTACGGCAACCAGGTGTTTCTATAATTCCCTGCTTGAACAGCTGCATCACCTCTTCTGCCACTTTGTGTTTATCTCCTTGGAAGTTAATCAGGCCCCAAATATTGTGATGAATGTTCCTCCACATGTCATTGAAGGAGATGACGAGGTCTGTTGATTCCAAGGTACCGATGGTGACGAGCTTACCACCAGAACGAACGTTTGCCGCTGCTAATTTCGTTGAATATCCTCCTAGCATATCGATTCCTGCAACAGCTCCCTCCCCGTTTGTCACGGCTCTTACTACCTTTGAAACATCTGCAGAACTTGTGATGTTACAAAGCTACTCGTAATCACAACAAACAAGTGTTCTTGACCTTCCTTGGTGGTATTGATAACGACATCAGCTCCAATTGCACTCAGTTCTTCCTTGAGCTCGTCTCTTCTCACAAGACTGATCGTTTTAAGGCCCCAGTGTTTTGCAATCTGGATGATCAGTCTGCCAAACACCAGTACTAGAAGTTCAAAATTCTGATCTCAAAATATATATACTTGCCTGCCAACAACCGATCCAGCACAGTTTTGCAAGATGTAGTCTTCAGAAGCTACACCCAGATCCTGGAGAATACAGTAGGCAGTCCAGGGATTACTCACAAACTGTGCTGCAGTGTCATCGTGCATCTCTTCTGGGACTAGAATTACTTCCTCCTCACGAACTTCTACATAATCCTGCCAGGAACCCGCACCCTTTCTGATAAAATAGCTCCAGAACAGCAACGGGATCACTCTGTCGCCCCTTTTCACGCTTGAAACACCCTCACCCACCTGATCATCAAAATTTTCAATCAGCACATGTACATTCAAAAACCAAATCCAAGAATATCTGTACAGCTTCAACGATCCCCACGCCTTCGCAACCAGGAATTACATTTGTTGGACTCCCTGGGATGATGAACTTTTTCCTGATGACGGAGAGATCCAAAGCGTGGATTGGCCTTGCAGTGATACGAACCAACACAGCTCCAGCTTCAGGATTTCCCTGTGGCTTGGGAGACTTGTGCAGGTCAACTATTGGGTGTTCTGGATGAACACAAAGTGCTCTTGTTCCTGTCATTATGATTAAAACATAAGAGTAGCAACATTATATATATATACAACCCATGGACTGCACCACACCATTTGCGTCCAGTGTAGGTGGTAGATGCTATACTCTGTCTTCCATTTTATTAGAAAGATTTCTTTCATAAAAGTTCAACCTGAATTAGTATTACTTTGACATTGTTTATGTATTGTTTATACATTTCGTTTTTGTCACTAGATATTTAGTCAAATTGCAAGAATATTTGTATTATTTTATTAGAAACGCATGTTGCATACAGCCTAGCTATATTGTGAACATATGAATTCCAATAGCATGATAATATTATTACCAATTGTTTTTAATAGAAAAATTATGTTCATTCATATCCTTCTATTTCCTTGTATTTTTCAAGAGTAGAAAAATTATATTATATACATTTATATTTAATTTTATATTATTTTATTGAAAGTATAGACTTATCTTATATAAGATAATGTTAAAATATGAGGATTTGACAGTTTATAAATAATTAAGTTTATAAATGGCAAACATGCACAACAACATAAATTATATTATACTTTGATTTCGCTAAATTTAGTTTTGTGATTTGCTTAAGTGGTTGAAAAAACCTTTATTGAAAGTGTTTCCCAAAATAGTTTTAAACATTATCAAATATATCTAAGGCTATATCCGTATCCAGAATAAATATTTGAGTTTCACTTCAAATCATGTGTTATTAAATTTCTTATGTAACTTGAATTGTGAAAGGTATCTATTAAATTTAAAATATTAAAACATTATAATAAAAAATATTTATTGTGGCCAGGCTACTCAAAACAAAATGGCAAAAGCTAGAGCCTTGTAAAGTTGTAATTGGGCTTAAAAACATATAAAAATGATTCATATAATACATAAATCTTCTATATGAGATGAAACCTAGGGCTAGAAAGTCATTCTATGACAGAGTATAGTGAAACTTTTGCCATATGCCACCTACCACCCACTTACTTTTCTTACTAAATTATTAATATTAGATTGATAATGAAATTCATAATTTAATAACAATGATGGACTTAGTCAGTTTATTTTTGTGATATATATAATCTTAAACAAGGAAAACCTTGCCCTTATAGACAACTCTTTCAGATGCTTCCATAGCTTTGTGATTCAAACCTATGACAATCAAGAGTTCTGCTTGAACAATTACATCACCAATTTTCCAAAAAAAGTTATATTTATATAATATTTTCAAGAGCATATTTGTAGATAATTATTTTACAGTACCCCAAAAAGTTCTTAAAATATATCATGTATATCCAAGTTGGATCATCATGTTATCCAATATCGATGTTTTTGTAATAATTGTACATGTATAACATAAAAGCAACCACTTAATATATAGGGATATACCTGATAAAAAAAAGATCATTCTAGTGGTTGAACATTAGTGGTTTATTAACAGCATTTGAACTAATTTAATGAGTAAGCCCGTGCGCATATTTTCTTCAGCCTGATCCGCAAGGAGGTCTACTTCACCAATGCGGCATCATTGTCGGGGCGAAGGTGGCGAACACTTAAATTTGGAGTTTACGCTTTTTTTCATGTCCCTGCAGTGCCAACTTAGCTACGTCGTTAACCTGCGAAAGAAGAGTACTAGTTTATGGAAAAACAAATCCTGGCGTGTGCACCTGTGATCGACTTTTGCTCGGCTCGTTGGTTCCAGCCAAAGCATCGAGACAAACTGGCAAACCAATCATCTGTTTGATCCCGCTTATTTACCGTCGACATGGGATGCTTGCTCATGCTGATTCGGATGGATTCACCCATTTTGAGGGGATGCTTTCGCTTCCCGTCGAAAGAAACAAATGCCGAGCTCCTCGCGTCTTCTGGAACCTGTGAAAGCAGTAACAGTTAGAACAAGCGTCAATATGATGATGAAAACACAAACTTCATGCAAGAAAGACATGTATCTTTAGGCAACCTACAATGAATAACCTGTTAGTCAGTGAAGTAGAGCCATCTGTTCTTTACGAGCACTCCAGTTAAAGCATCTGTCCAGGCTCCGAAACCAATCGGACGTCTGGTCGGATTTGTTAACTGTAGGCATTGGATTCCTGCCCATATGAATTCGCACCAAATCGCCTTTGGTGAGCTGCTGCCTCTTTTTCCCGTCAAACGAGACCCAAGCATTGCTTCTTGAGTCACTGGGAACCTGCAAAGTAAAAACTGTAATGGTGCCATAGCTCTAGCTAGTCTCAGGGCGTCACGAAACTCAAGCGAGGGTGCATGAACCACGCCAAAAGTCCAGAAGTGAACAGAAAAGTTAGCGTACCTTCAGTTCAAGAATAGCAGAGTCGGGTAGGATCACAGGACGAAACGATAACGAATGAGGACAGATGGGCGTGAACAGCATACAAGGCACATTCGGATGAACCTGAGATCATAGAATAAGCCAGTTAGATAAAGCTTTCAAACCAATCTATTACTAACCATTGATCCTCCAGCAGCAGTGGAGTAAGCTGTGCTACCAGTCGGTGTGGCTACTAACACCCCGTCCGCTTGAACCTGTGAAGAGAGTTGTCGCAAAACCTCCATTGTCCACGGAAAAAAAGCTTACCTTTGTGATGAGCCGGTTCCTTTCGTAACATTCGATCTTGCAGAGATAAGGATTCGATCCTCTGTCCACGACAACTTCATTAAGAACTTCAAAGACCTTCCCTGAAACCGGTTGTCCATCTCTGACGATTTCACACCTCAAGCGCATACGCAAAGTAACATACACCCCTTCTATTCTATTTCCGTGTATGACCGCGCGTAAGTCTTGTTTGAAGTCCTCAAACTAAAAGCATGGGCTTGTGTTAGAACCTTTGCAATCAGCGAGAACGAACACTTACGGGATGAGCAGTTAAGAATCCGAGGGAGCCAAGATTGAAAGAAACCACGGGAGGAACAGCACTCCTAAACAAATTGGATGCATGCAAGATGACTCCATCTCCACCGAGGCACACCACAAAATCAACTCTTTCATGGAGCTCGCTGCCAAGTCAAAAACAAAAAGATTTTAGCCAAGAAACAGACTAAAACAGTAAAAACAGACAATAATAAATCGTCTGAGAAGAAATCACCCAATATCGTGATTGTAGAAAGTCTGGATGAATCCGAAACCCGGAAATCTGGCAAATCGATCGTGTACGTCAGGTTCAACCATAACATTCATGCCTTCGTGATTGTACAGAAACGAAGCCACCTGGTCACAGAGAAACCACGAAAACTAAGTCATCGTAACCAGGGACATACCAAGCTCTCACCTGTTTCGCCTCTTCCATGAGCTCCTCTCCCAGCTTCTTTAGCAACAAAACCGTCTTTGGTGCAGTCTTCCACATGAGCATCTGCTGTTGTGTACTGGGATGCGTGAATGCCAGCGTCGACTCCGTCACTCTCTCCCTGGTGCAACTATAACCATCTGTTCTCACGAGATACATCTCGGCCTTCTTCCTCGACTGCAGCCTGACGACACCGGTTTTCGAAGCGCACATATCACCTTGGACAGCGCCGTTATCATCTTCTTCCTTTGCTCGGCCACCAGCTCGTCCATTCGTGCTACCTCCAGATGGTTTGCTAGGCACCTCAACCTTGGCATTGAAGCGTCCATTTTGTGCGTTCTCGTCTGGATCCAAACGAGAGTAGATAGTCCTCCTTTGCCGCCGGGCGGAGCCTGGCAGCGTACGTTTCCTCTTGAAAAATCTTGCCATAGACATGCGAGAGAAGACATCCGGCCCCGGCATTTGAGCCTCGAAGGGACTCGTTGTTCTTAACATGTTGGCTGCAACCTTGGAGCTTTCAGAGGCTTTGTCAGGTGTCTCCTCCAGAAATATGTCTTCGACTGTGCACATCGGCTCGGTACAGTTACGATCCAAGCCTCCACGAAGCACAAACTCCCGCCACCTGGATACCATCGCTGATGCTCTCACCACGCCGGCATAGCTTTGCAGGAAAACCGGGCGATTCGCAGCATCCGAGACGATATCCGCAAACTCGCGGACTTGTTCCATCGTCGGCGCTGTCTGCACTGACACGGGAATTCTTACTCGCCTTATTCTCCCAGACGCTTCGGCTTTCATGAGCGCTGCTTCGGCCAGTTCGTTCTGAGGATCTTCATCTCTCAAATCCACAATCGTCTTAAACTCCCGCTGTAGCAACCACTCCAGGCCTTCCTCATTGATGTTCCCACCCCTCCAAAACTCCACCAAATTCTCGTCACCTTTCTGGAGCTTGACAGTCGCGAAATTTGGAATGTGTCCATAGCACGGTGCTCCATCGGGACGAGGAAACCCAGCGTCGAGGCAAACGTTGGTCAGCCTGTGTAAGATCCTGTAAACCGCTAGATTCTGGTCTCCTTTCGCCGGTAACAAGGACTGGAGAGAGGTACGTAGCGACGAGCAACACCCTCTAAGCTTGGATCGAAACCGAGCGAGGCGAGGAAGCCTTTCTTCCTCCTCGTTCGAGTAGCCACCTAGAATGTCCAGCCTTCCCTGATGGAGAGTAGCTCCAATGCACCCCAGCCCAGCCACCACTTTCTCCTCCAAGGACGAACTAAACACACCTCGAGCACCAACGTTCTCGTCGGCGCTCTCTAACCGACGTAGAGATTCCATCACGGTCCTGTGGAGCTGCTCGGCAAGGCGCTGGATTCGACAGAAGGCTTCTATCTCCGCAAGATCGCCCGATAGTGGCCCGAGGGAGAATTCCTGGGCTTCCTCCTCCTGTAAGCTTTATCGTGAATCCGATTCTAGCGCAAGAAGAAATTCATGTACCTCTATCCAGGAAGCCTTGTCCGTCACCGGAATTGCTCTCAATCCGCTCGATTTGGCGCTCCATCGCTGGAAATTCGTGCTCCGCCACTGCTGGCGCTTGCGATTCAGCACACACACCGCGTCCGGCAAGAGATTATTCGCGGTGTAGTAGATTGCCTGCTGCCAGATACTGGCGACGATCATCCTAGCTAATCCAGCACCTCCTACGCTTCAATCGCTCATAATCCAGCCGAGAAGCAGTTGCCGCCACGGCCGATCATCCTCCACCACCAGCATTCCCTCCCATAAACCCTAAAGAATCTTTCATAGAATCTTCGCAAGTAAATCAAACTAAAGCCGTTGAAAGAAAGTATACAAGGACAAATAGATAAACGTATTCTAGTCCATCTCCATAGGCTCTCTAGAACGAGACTTCTCACTTCTATCGCGATCTTTGTCTCTCTCTCGCTCGTAGCCTCTATCGCGCTCTCGATCTCTATCACGCTCTCGGTCTCTCTCGCGCTCCCCTCGTTCGTGATGATCTCGGCGGCCTCCTCTCTCTCGGTCCCTCTCTCTTCCACGGCTTCTTTCTCTGTGCTCCCTATCCCGGTCTCGGTCCCTCTCTCGGTGCCTCTCCCGGTCTCTCGGCCTGTCTCGATCTTTGTGATCTCTATCACGGTCTCTCTCTCGATCGCGATCTCTTTCTCGGTCTCTGCAAAAAGAAAAAACTTTTAGACAACTCAAAAGTATACACAAAGGAAACACAAACCTTTCGTCCGGGCTTCTTTCGTCCCGGGGCTTCTCCTCAGTTCTAGCGCCCCCTACTTGTGGTTCTCTGAGGAAGAAAAATGGATTTTCAAGAGCACAAACGAAAGAGATAGGAGCATACCGGCCGGAGTACTTTTGATTCACTTCGTCGCCACCGACACGAGTAGACCCCAGACCACCGCCAAGCCTCCGGGGTCTCCAGTTCGGCACCGTCCGACCACGCTCGACATCAACTAAAACTCTCCGGTTATCAATTTTCCGTCCATCGGCTTGTTTGTAAGCAGCTACAAGGAGAACAAACAAATTCATATCAGCAAAGCTTGCAAAAGGAAACCACGTACCTTTCATGTCGCGTGTATGGAAGTACTCGATGAAAGCATACCCGCGAGGCTTATTACTGTCCTTGTCATGGACAAGGCGAACCTGGAGAACGAAAAGAGTATTAAGTAAGACGATTCTCGCGCTCTGAAGAGCACAAACCAAGCGGACTATTAAAATGCACGCTATTCCACACGGCAGACATGAAGGCATTAAGCCTCACTCGCCGTGCCCAGCTTCAAAGACATAAGATACGCGTCGAGAGTAACGAGTTTCAAACTTTGTTGGCTTACCAGTAAAACCCTCTTACCAGGGGCGAAAGCAAACTAGCATGGCTGACTCTAAACTAGGAAAAGGTTTGAGATTGCCTGTCTAGACTCTTGTTCTAGCCAGATAATTTCGGTGTGTTGCTAATCTGCAAACAAACAAACATGCGCTCCAAGTCTTGGATATTTGTCAATCCGATGAAGTAAAAGAAAAAAGAAGAAAAGGGCTTATACCTGATAAAACACACTTACTTCTCAGTCTTCAGAAACAAAACTCATGCAGTGGAGTAGAAGAAAGCCATGGAAACATATCTGCAGCTTAGACAAGTATGTGCTTTCGATGCAGCTAAAATGTGATGAGAAAAATAAACGGGAAAATGGTAAGGATAAGAGTGAACTCACAACAGGATATCTTACCACAGTCGAGGAGTTGTAAGCTCCTTGACCACCACAGTTGGATACCTACCCTTTTTATTGGACCATAGGCCTCAAACTCCCTTTTAATTTTGTGTTCCGTTGTCTCGTAACTCTATGGAAAGAAAAAAAAAGAACAAAGGACAAGATGAAGCCTTGCCAGGAAATAGAGGAGAAAAAAAACTTACAATCCTCGCGACAAATAGTGTTTTGTATGGATCGCCCTCAATGTTGGAATCGGTTTGAGGGTCATCTGAAAGAAACAAAATGAGCATCGAAAGATGAGAATCCATGACGACTCACATTTTTCCAGATCCTCAGTTGCCTTCTCCGCCCCCTTCTCCAGACGAACGCTATGGATCCTTGCTCGTCTTTGAGACTGAAAATCACAAGTTTAGAAACAAGGAAAGAAGAGATTCCGATTGTCATACCGGAGTTTCAGCTTTCACAATTGGAGGACTGTACTCCGGATCACCAGGCTCCGCAAAGTGTTGGACAAATTGTGAAATACCTGGTAGAGCTTAAGAAACCAGTTCCACGAGCAATCCTTTCTTACCATGATACGGTGGAAGATTCCGCTTCTCCGGCGGCGGCTTATACTCGAGAGGAGGCCGCGGCTCGAAGAGCTTCAAAAGATTCGCAGTCAATCCGGTGGGATGGCTCTGGCCGATCTGAAAGAAAAGGGCTGAGAAGCCGATCAAAGAGAAGAGGCGAGACGAGATTTACCAGTTTGAGCTGCTGGACAGTGGCCCGGTTCTGCGCAGCCTTGGGGCGCGCGGGCATGCCGGCGACATTGTAGTCGTTCATCGCGAAGACCCTGGGAAGAACACAAAAACCCTAACCTGCGCCGCAGATAATAAACGGATATAAAGGCGGATATTCTGCTTAAGAGCCGCAAGAGAATATTCTGCTCCAGAGGATATTCAGCTTACAATCTAGACGGCAGCCTTTGCGAGGCTACTATCGGCCACTTCGGCTTCGATCTTTGGGAATACTGGCGATGGAGTAGCGACGAGCTGGCCAGCTTTGAGACCACCCCATCGTGTATCGTCCTGGGAGTAACGAAGAAGAAAAATCCATAAGTTTTGGAAGCAAAGAATTCTAGTAGCGACATACCCAAGAGATTTGGTTGAAATGCTCGTCTTGATAGCCGAGCTGTAGCCACATTCTTCTGCAAAGATCTGGTACCACTGGCGAGAGTGCCACCGAGAGAATTCTCACGGACTCCAAGATTACGGCCAAGTCCTGGGAAAGCTATGTGGTGAGCAACGATGTTTGATAGATGTTTTTAGCACGAACCTTTGCCGCTGCCTCCGCTGCTGGAGTTCCTTTTTGTTTGAAGCCCGTCCATGGAGCGCGCTCTTCCAAGTAAGCGTTTCCCGTATTCGCTAAGGATAGTAGTGCCTCACAGGCCGACGAGAAATGAAGCTCAGAGTAGCGTCTCTTCGCGAGTGCAACCTGTTGATCAGAAACAAAAATTGCTCATGGCTATGCGCAGCAAGAATCTGTAAGCTTACAGCTGCCTCAGCAAATACCCGCACGGGATTTTCTTCCGGGATGGACTCCGAGTCGACTGGTATTGTTGACGCACAGTTCTTTTTCAAAAGACCAAGCGTTCTGTTGAGAAGATTTCCTGCACGACGATCGACGTGTGGGTCAGAGAAGACTTTGTGAAAATATATACCGATTGTGTTGGCTAGATGTGCATTCACGATGGTTATAAACCGCTCCTCTGAATAATCGCCGTCTCTGCCAAATTCCATCTCGTTCAGAAAGAAGTATCTTACAGAATCAACTCCAAATCTCGAGACCAGCTCCTGTGGCTCGATTGTGTTGCCTAGAGACTTTCCCATCTTCAAGCCGTCCTGGAAAGCACAACAACGAGTCAAAAAAAAAAAGAAAAAGAACCAATGGATACCTTTGTAAGAAATCCATGGCCGAACACTGTTTCTGGTATTGCAAACCCCGCTGACCAAAGCATTGCAGGCCAATAAACGGCATGAAAGCGTAATATGTCCTGTCAAAGTTGGAAAAAAAGAAAGAAATAACTTTAGGAGAATAAACCGGTTACTCGAACGAACCTTTCCAATGATATGAACAGAAGCTGGCCAGCCAGAAGCGGCTGCATTTTCAGGTGTCACTTCTTTTCCATCGAGTAGAGCTGAAATATACCTGCGCGCACAATCAACGTTCACCATATCTACACGTAGCAAACATGCGAAATACCCGAGTAGTGCATCGAACCACACGTAGATGGTCTGCTTCTTGTCCGTCGGTACAGGGATTCCCCATTCTACGGCTTCCCTGGAGATAGAAAAGTCGTGAAGACCTTCCTTCACCCATCCCAACACCTGTAGAACTAAACAGTGGGGTGTAAGATTTCCAAGAAGCCACTAATTATTCCTCCAAGTACCTCATTCATCCGAAATGGAGGCCTCACAAAGTCAGGCCTGGTAGACAAGAGCTCCTCCAGTCGTGACTGATACTTCGATAGAGCAAAGAAGTAATTTTTCTCCTTGCGCTCTACGCAAGGCTTTCTGTGGATAGGGCAGCACTGTTCTTCGATCAAATCCTTGGCATCCTGCAATTCCATCGCAGCTGTTTTAAAAGGCAGAATCAGAACTTTGTACCTTATACTCCTCGCAATTTACACAGTATAGTCCCTCATAGTTGGCACAGTAGATATCCCCTTTGTCATAAACTCTTTTGTAAAACTGTTCCACCGCGCGCTCGTGAGCTTCGTCTGTGGTACGAATGAACTTGTCGTAAGATATATTGAGCTGAAACGCAGAGAAAAGGAGTTAAGCGAGTCGAAGAAAAGAAAGCTAAATGGATGCAAGGATGCAAGTTAGAAAATTTACATCCTTCCAAAGACTTGCGTACTCGTTAGCGATCAAATCGCAATGTTCCTTTGGTTTCCGGCCTTTCGCAGCGGCAGCAGTGGCAATCTTCTCGCCGTGCTCGTCCGTGCCGGTCACAAACACGACATTCCTTCCTTGGAGCCTCTGAAACCACCCAAAAGTTATACCCAGCCTGGGCATATGCCGCAAAATCCATACCTGAAACCTCGCGAATGCGTCCGCGGCGATGGTGGGATAGGCGCTCCCCATATGTGGCGCCGCATTCACGTAATACAGCGGCGTCGTCACCACAAACGTCCTCCCATCGCGATCGTTCTCCTTCTCTGCTCTTACACTGGTGAACGCGGCGGAATTCCTCCTCGCCGCGGCCGATTTGGCGCTTCTGCTGAAGATCCAACGCGAGCATCGCAAAGAGAAGCAGAGATTGGGGGCGGCAGCGGCGGAAGAGGAATACAAACACTGAACCATTCCGCGCGCCAGGGTTTAGGGCTCATCCCAAAAATCCTGACGAATATGCCAGGAAACCGACGGTCCAAAGTCGTTTTGAGCCGACGGTCCAGATCTAAGAATTTTTATGCAAAGTTGCCTTTCTATTCGTCTTCTTTACTCTCTTTGTCAGAGTAAGGAACATCGTCGAGCTCCACCATTCTGGGAGAAGGGGCGGACGATTTCACAAACTCCGAAATGGCGGCTCGATTTTTTAGCTCGAGCTCCCTAGCAATGTGAAGGTCAGACGGCCAAAACTTTTGCATCAGTACCTTTGCACAGAATCGGGGAAGCAACGCGACAACGATTACGAGTAAGATGTTTAGCCAAAACACCGCAGTCGATGCCATATGAAACATAACTCTGCGAGAGAAGAACACCACTAGAGATCAAAACAAGGGAAACGAAAGAGTGAGTGAGTACCTGTAGTGTGCGATGAATCCTTTGTCTGTCAAGGCGTCCAGCACGAAGAAACACGCAAAGGAGACGACGATGGATCCCCAGATCGCCGCGTGAGTGATCCAAGTCCAGTGTAAGACGTCCATAGCGAGGTGTAAGTTGACCAACACCACCACTGCTGCGGCCCATAAGCAGCCCATCCCCCAGATATCGATGGTCGTTCCCTGGAACGTAAAAAACGGTACGTAGAAGAGAACCAAGCTCTGCCACAGCGTGTCCAGCATCGTCGCCCAGAAGAGCACCGAGTTGTAGCTCTCGTTTCTCTGTCCGACACCGTAGAGTGGAGGAAGTCCGAGTAAAGTTTTGTGACTCAAGTCCTTGTCTAGAATCCCGACGACGATCGTTGGCACGGAGGTGTATATCAGCGAGTAGAACATCAAGTTCCAGTCGAAAAGCGCTGTCTGTGCGGAGAAGGCTGTGTGCAAAATGTACCTATAGGCAGATGTCAACGACAAAGGAAGAAAAGTGAGAAGAAAAACGAGAGTGAGCTTACCAGAAGAGCATCATCACGAACACGGCATTCCTGTAAAAGTTGTAGAGCACCATATACGCGAGACGCTGGTAGTTCCAGTGACCGTGGACGAGGAGAAGCCGTTTCAAGAATCGAAACTGGCCCAATGCAAAGTCAGATGCCATGACTGCTTGCCGACCTTCCTGGCCACTCAATCCAATTCCAACATCTGCTGTCTGTATCATGGAGACATCATTGGCTCCTGAGCACAACTTCGGGAAATGAAAACCACTTCTAGGCCACAAAAGTCAAAAAGAAAAAAAATCACTCACCATCTCCAATAGCGAGAGTCATGTCCTTTGTTCTTCGTTTCATCAACGAGACAATCCCGGCTTTTTGCAGCGGCGCGACGCGACAGCAAATAACGATTCTGCATGCTACGGCTAAGTCAAAGAGCTGCGAGAAAACACACCGAGAAGATGTTAAAGGTAAAACAAACTTAGAAAAGAGAATATCACTTACGAGTTCTTCTACGTCCGGCGAAAGAGCGTGCACGAGACTGTTCCCATCGATAATAAGAGCCAGTTGTTTCTTGCGGGTAGAATCACCTTTAACAGCATTCAAGTTCTTCTCTACAACGTGCACGTCCTTGGTCTCAGTAATCCCATGCTCTCTGATAGCTGATTTGAGCTTCTCGACGCAGAGCTCTTTCGTGTTAGCGTTGACAATTACTTTTTCCATGTCCGGAGTGAGAAGAGCGCAAGAAAAGCCAATAGAAATCGCAGTCTCCTGCTTGTCTCCTGTCAAGACCCAAACTTTGATGCCCGAATTCCGCAGGGACGAGATTGTTTCGGGTACTCCATCTTGCAACCTGTCCTCAATTGCAGTAGCTCCCAGCAAGGCCAGATTTCTTTCTATTAAACTAGCCGCCTCTCGTAGCAACTTCACCCTGTCCACCAGTGCCGTGCTAGCTCTCTTGTACTTTTCGTGCCACTCTTCAAACTCGGGCTGCCCCAAATCCTTGAAAGCAACAACCAAAGTGCGCAATCCTTGCGTAGAATAGAAGTCCAAGTGCCTCTGTGTTGCAAACAGCACCCCTGCTTGCAAATGACCGTCTGCAAGGGAACCTGAGCCTGACTCTACTTGCTCGGATGGCCTGGCAATGATATCCATCACTGCGGTGTCCGCTCCTTTCACTAGCAGCTTGTACGTGTTATCGGGGCACTCCACAACGATCGACATGCGCTTGCGTACACTGTCGAACTCGTGAATTCCTACAATTTTGTAGCTGCAGCAAATGGTTCCACGTAGTGTTAGAGCAAACATTTCAGCACGAAGACTTGTCACCTTTTCTGCTCTCCAAGAACATCCAGTACTATCGTTGAAGTAGTTCGGTCTAAAAGTGTATAGCCGTAAGCAGACGCCGCAAAAACTAAAGCCTGCTCGTCTGGAGATTCAGCCTGATATTGCAGCGATCCACTGTGACGAGTCGGAACCACTGTATTACAGGCCGCAAGCACCAGCATGTAACGGTGAACAAAAGTTGCTTCCGAGGACGTGACCTCCGTTTGAAGAAGTTCTAATAAGTTGGGATCAAGACGAACGCCAGACTTGAGATGGCTACCTACTTGACAAACATAGAAACGATCATAAACATGAAACAAATACCTTAAACAGAAAAAAGAGTTACCTTCAACTTGCATGCCATCCGAGGAATCAGAAGTACCAGAAATTTTAGCTGCAAGAACGTTGCTATAATCAACCCCTCCAATGCTGGCTGAGTGGAATTCCATCTTATTCTCGGTTAGTGTGCCAGTTTTATCTGAGAAGATGTATTTCACCTGTCCCAAGTCTTCGTTGATGTTTAGAGCACGGCACTGGAGTCTCGAGTTTGACGGCGCGTGAAACATCTCAACGTCTCTCACCATGAAGTAACTCTGGCCGAGACGAACAAGCTCCATGGAGATGTACAAGGAAATCGGGATCATGATCTGGAACATGATGATGAAGCTGAGAAACGCAAACACCCCCTCTCCAAAAGGTCCATAGTACATGAACTTCTTGTCCGCTGTGTCACGCTTCTTGTAGTAAGGAAAGTTGTTTAGATCGCTGTCGTGATCGTGAACCCATTTTCCCATCCCAACACCGCCGGCAATACAGATGATCAGCAAGAAAAACGAGAGCCACAGAGTTTCCTTGTTCATATGCTGCTCCAGCCTGCTTCGTTTGGACTGCGCACCAGAGCTGTTGAGCATAGCCTTCGTCTCCTTTCCCGCATAAACCACAACTCCCACGATCCATGCGGTGTTTTTGAGCACACACCCGCGGAGTATGATGTTGTTTGGCCCGAGCGGAGCTTGAGTGTCATCGATCTCCAAGTACGCCACAAAGTCGTAGATATTCCTGTTTGGAGGCTCGCAGACGACTTTGCCGGTGATGGGAGCCAGGCCAGGATGCTTGCTTGCACTCTCCTGCCGTGCATATCTCGTCTTTAAGTTCGTCTCTCCGTCTAGATTGATGGTCTGGACGTAAGCTACTCCGTTTGCATCGCTCGTTCCCAGTAAAACTATATCGCACGGAATGGACTCGTCCTGAAAAATCTTCACTACTTCCCCGGCTTCAATTTTCTTCCACCTCTTTGGCTCAAACCGGCCATTCTGGAACACCCAAGACAGCCTGTTGTTTTCTTCCCTGTCCGACCTGTGACGACCCCAGTCCTCGTAACCGTCCTTGATAGCCGTCACAACCAGCACGAAGAGAAGAGGAAACAGCGAAGCCAACCTCCCAAAAACCGCGAGCTGAGGAATCTGGTTGAGTATCACTATCAGGAGAAAGTAGATGTAGGCAACCCGATGAAACTGCTCAAACAGATTCCTGGGAAGGAACGAGATAAGCGTGTATTTGCTGGTGCGGACCTTGTTCCCGGAGAACTCGAAGTTTTCATTAGTCCTGCCAGGATTGTCGACATATACTACTCTTTCCTTCCTTGCATCAGTGCGAGCTGCTGGAAGAGCAGGACCACCAGCACCCGAGGAAGAAGAAGGATGGCGATCGTGAGCTTGTGGTCCTTTGGAAGAAATCACCGAGAAAAGCCGAGAGCGAGCTGTGGCCGGAGCATTCTCACTCTGCATGGATCCTGGAGCTCCGAAAACTTCGCTCTGGAGATCGCTTCCAGAAACTAACTCCCTGAAAGATTCGAACGACGGGTCGGACACGTCTAGATGTGCCGATCCATCCGACCGGCTCCCTGTGCTTGATCTAGAGGGCCCGTGACCAATTCGCTCTCCATTCTCTGTTCGTGGCTGTTCCTCCTGGGACGATAAGAAGCTGTTCCTCCCAAAAAACATCTTTCCTGGAAGCCCTTTTGCGGTCTCCCTCGCGGCCAAAAAATTATAAACACGGAGCTGTGGCACCAAGCTCGCAACCTCTTCTGTGCCATCCTCCTCAACTCATCTCCACCTACAGCGACCATCAAATCCCCCAAAACCCCAGCTCTCTGCCAGAGGAAGGATCGTCTCAGCTCCTAGCTACGAAATCCCTCCTGCTTGATTTCCACACCAATGTAGCTCCGGGAGAGATCTCTAGCGCTACAGATCCCCCCGCCGGAAATCCGCCGCGACATACCTGGAAGAAAAATGCGCTGCCCAGCGCGATGCCGCGATGGCGCCCCCAGATCGGCGTCCTCCTCGCTCCACGCCTAGGGTTTGCAAAGAAGCATCAAAATTAGAACTTAACGCCAGTAAAGAAAAAAGGGGGATGACGTTTCGGTAAAGCGGATTTCTGTAAGAAAACGATGGATGGATTGAGACACAAAATTTAATCCACGGATATGGAGATGAAATTCTCCACGATGGCTGCTCTGTTTTTTTCCCGTGACTTGGCATCCCACATAAGTTGACAAGCAACCAAAGAACTCCATTTTTCTAATTTTTTTGGGACTTTTTTTTTCGGCTAAGCTAATTGAAACTAATTGAAGATCGATAGAACATCATTCGTCAATCACGTAGAAAGAGAAATCTTGACTACGCTTTTCTTCGCTGACCACAGATTAAAAACGAAGAAAGCCAGATCGCGAGGAACTTTTCCTCCCATTTGCAGTGAAGCTCCCTTTACTGGACTGGACTAAAAATCATTTTTTACGATTTTTACGTCAAAACCTTAACACCAGTGAGAGAGAGTTCTTGTGCATTCAATGCGCTTCACTCTTTTCGCGATCACAGCAAAGAGGTTAGATAGAGTCTTTGCCTTCTTACGCGTTCTTTTGGGGGAAATAGTGACCCTATAGACTTCGCATCATACGCGCATCGCGCTTCAGCAGAGTCCATGGATTCGCCGACGAAGGGGCCTCGATATAAGTAGTTTCAACTTTAGAAATTGGGATTGTGAAGAAGTACCAGCGAAGAACACGAGTGTCGGGAAGAAACGTTGAGCTTTGCCGGGACTAGGAGAAGACGCTCCTAATTGTATGGTTGGATAGCTAGAAATCGATCTAGAGATATGGCAGGCGGTGCTCCAGCGGGAAGAACACTAGAGCAAACTCCGACATGGGCTGTGGCGGTCATTTGCACGATGTTTGTGGTTGTCTCGCTAATTGGCGAGAGAACTCTTCACTACCTTGGCCATGTAAGTCTCTCTCTCTCTCTTCGCTGCTCTATCAGGATAAGCTCTAGCCCCGATTTATTTACTTTTGTGTTCGTTTCATAGTGGCTGTCAAAGACAAAGAGAAAGCCTCTTTACGAGGCTCTAGAGAAGATGAAAGAAGGTAAAAGAAGGATTTTTCCCTCTGAAGAGACACTAAAAACTTGGATTTGTGCCAGAGCTTATGCTGCTGGGATTCATATCTCTGCTCATCACTGTCACGGCGGAATCGATCAGCAAAGTCTGTGTCAGGACGACCTTCTTCGATGGGCATCTCATGCCTTGCAGCGCAGCAGAAGCTGCAGGAACCACTGAACCCGAGCACTTTCTTATCAACAGGAAATTGTCCGAGTACTTTATGGATCAAGTCGGGTTGCCACGACGATCATTGGCTGTCGCAGGGAACTCCTGCGCAGAGGTACGATCCCAAGAACATTTTTTTCTTGTTGGTTTTTGTGCTTAGTTCTTCCTTGCTACAGGGAAAAGAGCCATTCATCTCGTTTCTTGGCCTCGAGCAGCTGCACCGTTTTCTCTTCGTGATGGGATGCACACACGTCTTCTACTCGTGTCTCACCATGCTTCTCGCAGTTGTCAAGGTTGGTGTTCCAAAACGCTTTGACAGAGAAATTGCATGATCTCATCAGAAACTTCTAAATCTCTTTGAATTCTCGCGAGCAGGTTTATAGCTGGAGGCGCTGGGAAGACGAAGCCCATAGTCATGTCGACAACCAGCAAAACATGGCCGGTAATTCTTGTTTTGACCGACCGAGAGTGATCACAAAGGCTTACAAACTTCTCGTTCTTCTGGTGCCACCCAGAATTTTGCAGGAACTTGACAATGAAAAGGCAATCGACTTTCGTCCAGCACCACGCATCAACACCTGGTAGTCGCAATCCCGTCATCATCTGGGTGGTGAGCATATTATACCCTTCGTAGCTAGTTGCCAGTACTTCGTCAAGATCTGAGTTATTCGCGTGACTGCGCAGATTTGTTTCTTCCGCCAGTTCGGGCAGTCTGTTACTCGCCCGGATTACCTCGCGCTGAGGCTGGGATTCGTCACTGTAAGTTGAAAGAGCCTAGTAAAACTCTTGGAAGATCTTCAAACTAAATCACACTGACTTGCCTCGCAGAAACACGCCACGGGACCAAAATATGATTTTCACAGCTACATGATTCGATCGATGGAGGACGAGTTCAAGGAAATCGTGGGAATAAGGTAAGCATCTGACACTTTTTGATCGTAAACTGAAGTTGTTTACATGATGAACGATGCAGTCCTTTGTTCTGGGTCTTCGTTGTTCTCTTCATGCTCTTCAACGTCGATGGATCCAACTTATACTTTTGGATGTCGTTTCTTCCAATAGTGGTAAGATCCTCTCCATGGATGGAAGCTCCAGTAAATCTTAAAAGACTGATTTTTTTTTCCTTGATCCAGATGGTGTTGATTGTCGGAGCTAAACTCCAGCGAATTATCGCCCAGCTCGCTCTCGAAAACTCGGGACTCTCGGGACCTTTGGATGGTGTTCATCTGAGACCGCGCGATTCACTCTTTTGGTTTAGAAGGCCACAGTTGATGATGCATTTGATCCACTTCATCCTCTTCCAAGATGCTTTCGAGCTCGCAACTTTCTTCTGGATCTGGGTAAGTCCTGTTTTTTTTCTCAAGATATTGTTCAACGCTCTGGGTGTGATTGATTCCAGTGGCAATTCGGATGGGATTCATGCTTTATGAGCAAGAAATCATTTGCTTACATTCGTGTCATCACGGGGTAAAGTTTCTAGAGTTGTTTCACGAACTTTGTTTTCATACTCGGTAACTTTGCTAGATTCTTGGTCCAAGTTCTTTGTAGCTACAGCACCTTGCCACTCTACGCTCTTGTCACTCAGGTACTCTCTCTTTACGGAGACGAAGAGAAACAAAACCTCAATCTTTTCTACGGTTTTCCAGATGGGATCTAACTACAAGAAGGCGATCTTCCAAGACAACGTCGTGGAATCCCTCCACCACTGGAAGAAAGTTGCGAAACACCGAGCAAAAGAAGGAAGCTCACACGCGGGATCAAACGACGGTCAGGAGACCTTCCACCACCACCACCGCGAAAGCCCGCCACCGCCGCCAATTGCCGAAATCGAGCTCGAAAACGAGGGTGGCGCCAGGCACGTAAGATCAACAGCCAGATACATGAGAAACATCGAAAAAGTTCCAAACGTTTTCACTCTCCCCAACGACACGCTCTTGAGTCCAAAGCTCCCGGAGTACAGCCCAAGCGTGGAGCAGCACAATGTAGAGATGATAAAACCAACGTATGGAAGGCACAACCCCGCCGCCGACGCATACGATCCTAACCAGCAAGGAAGATCGATGGAGTGAGTTATGTTTTTTTTTTTTTCTTTTTTTTGACATGTAAAATTATATATATGTCAATTTCGGTAGTATATTTTGTTTTTAATTTTAATTTTTTGGTAATAATTTGAATCACTAAGAAATATTTGAGAATTGAGAACTAAAGTAATCAAATATTTATTAATAAAAATGTAAAAAGTCATTTAAAAATTGTAATTTACTTCGTCAAATTTTACCAAATTCCTTTAAAAGTATAACCGTTGGAATTTTAGGGTAACTGTCTTAATGGTGGACGCGCAGCGCTACCAGGAGCTCAAATGCTCCATCCAGGAGCTGAAATCCCAGGTGAGAGCTAAAGCTTCGCCGCGCCTGGCTCTTCCAATGCCGGCGGCCGCGCCTCCCAGCGCCTCGATGCAGCTACTGCAGCTCCAGTTTGATCTTCTCGAGGAGGTGTGAGAGCATTCTCTCCTCTCTGTTGGTGTGTGGCTTGGCGTGATTTCCACTTGCAATGCAGGCGAGGCAGGAGGAGTTTCTGAGGCTCCAGGGCCGGGTGCTGGAGCGATCCAAGCACCTTGAGGTTTTCAGGGCGAAATGCGAGAAGAAGATCAAGAAAGGAGAGGACAACTTTTACCTTCTTAAAGAGAACGTACGAAGGATGGAATGTCAATTCTGCGAGCGTATATCTGCTGCTGAGCAGGTATTTTCCTTCCGTTGTTCTTCGTGTTCTTCGGCTTTCAATTTGTGTGTCTTAGCTTTCTCGCAGGATTTCTTGGACGAGCAAGAGAAACTAAGAAGTAGATATAAAGATTTCGAGGTGGAGCAGCTCCAGCGTGAGCGTGATCTTATAGCCAGCTACGATTCCACCATTTCTCGCTTGGAACGAAACAATGATGAGGTGAATCAACTTCTCTCTTGCTCACAAAATAACTTGTATCTTCTTTTCAGAAAAGCGTGGCCAAGAAAGTTATCGAAGAACAGCTCAAGCGAGTAATGGAAGAGAACTCCCAGCTGAGGGAGCGGATCATGCTTTTGGAGCTGGAATCGAGATCGGCCAAGGACGAGTTTCGTCGCATGTACCGTGAACAGGTCTCACTGAAGCTTTTAAAACGTTGATCAGTTTTCTTCATAGCTTTACTCTTCCAGGAGAAGCAATGGAACATCAAAATCCAAAGCGTCACCGAGTCACACGAGTGCGAGCTAGAATCCTTGAGTGAGTTTCTACGATTCAGCAAACCAAGTAGAGAAACTGATGCTTTCACATTTTCCAGAGTCATCCATGGAGAAGGAAGGATCGAAGATCAAAGAAGAGAAGCTCCAGCTAAGTTCCGAGTTCCAGGAGTACAAAGCTCAAAAGGTTCGAGTAGTTCTTCCGGGATATTGATTCGCTGCGTGCTTAGAGTGCTTGCTTGCGATTCCAGGTGAAAGAGATGGATCTTTTGGATCAGCGAATTCGCGCGGCGCTCGAGCACAAAGATGCGAAAATCTTGCACCTCAATCGCGAGCTCCAAATACTCCAGCAACAGTTGAATCAGGCAAACAACCTGCTCGAACAAGAAAGTGGATGAAAGCTCCCATGTTTTCATATGTAGCATATTCGCTCGAATCTTTTTCGAGCAAAAGCCCTAAGAAATGGGCTACCTGGATGCCCAAGCCGGCGATGGCGGGCGCACGGCGTTCCGGCGCGCCGAGAAGAAATACAAGCTCTACAAGCAATCCACGACGCACAAGCACAGCAGGTAAGACTAGCGAAGAAATTCCAGCTCGATTTTACGAGTTGTCGATCCAGAATGGAGATCCCAGTCACGGATCTCTCTCAGGTCATCGACTTCGAGAGGATTCGCGATGGCGATGGCGTTACGCGACTCGATCATTCGGATTTTCCTGTTTATGCGCTGGAAGGCCACACAGGTACGTGATTATGGATTACTTCTTTCTCTATGTTCTGTGTTCTATGTTCTATAGGATTCTTCTTTATTCCTCGAGCTGTGCCACACGACCAGCAATTCCACTGGATTCGCGAGGCACTCACGGTTTTTCCCGAGCCTCCAAATCGGACAAGTCACAGTGCTCACTATGGTCCTTTGTTTGGCTTGTGGTCTTCTGCCACCAAAAAGGGAGTGCTTTCTCCAACCGGGCCTGTGGACATATCAGCTCAGCTCTGCTCGGGATCTCTCAGTGCCTGCCGAGAGGACAAGAATGACGAGCATGAATCTTCGATCAGGCCTCGCACGCTCGAAAGTAGCCGTGAGGAAAACGGAGATTTGTTTGTAAGGAAGTGGGAGTTTGCAGATCCGGGAGAGGAGAGAAAACAGGAAGGAGTGGTTTCTGCGACAGCACTTCTTCGTAAGCTGCGGTGGGCAACTCTGGGAGTCCAGTTCGACTGGTCCAAAGTGAGTCGAGCTTTTCAGGATCTTCTTTGAGCGCTTCTTACGAGCTTTCTTTCTTATTTCTGTTCTTGCAGCGAGCTTACGATATTTCCATTCCATATCGAAGTTTTCCACCGGCGCTTTCAGAACTGGCAACTAAGTTGGCATCACCAGCGATGAATGGTGACCAGTTTCGTGCCGAGGCTGCTATTGTTAATTTCTTTGGTCCAGGTATGCTTTTCTTTGCGTATCCGAGATATTGACTTAGTTCGATCTAGATGATATGTTGGGAGGTCATATAGACGATATGGAAGCGGACTGGAGCAAACCAATTGTGAGCATCAGGTGCTCTCTCTCTATTCCTTTTTTCTTGAAAAACACTGACACTTTGAGCTTCAATAGCCTGGGTTGTAAGGCAATCTTCTTGCTTGGAGGCGAAACTCGTGACGATCCACCCGTGGCAATGTTCTTGCGGAGTGGAGACTGTGTCCTCATGGCTGGTCCTTCCAGACGCTGCTTTCATGGTATGTAGTCTCTTTGGTGTTTCGAGATAAACCATCGCGATGTTATGACTTAACACGCAGGCGTGCCAAGGATATTTACAGGCTGCAAAGAGTCCGACCTGCCAGATTTCTCAGCTCTTGCAATGGGCGAGATCAAAGAAAACGTTGCAATTCTGGACTACATTCAACAGTCCCGGATAAACATAAATATCAGACAAGTGTTCTAAGGTGAGTTAAATTCGTCGTTTTGTCCTTGTTCTCCAAATACTAAACCATTCTACTTAATGTAGGAGCGAGAGTGATTTTGACACTGAAGAAATCCAGGTAACTTAATCTTTCGGTGAAAAATCTTGGGCAGTAACGTTTGATGCTCTGTGCAGTGATTTTTGTTTACTGGGCTCCAAGACAACCAGTTGACCGTTACGGCATATGCTGTTGCCTTCGGGGTTTTAGAGGAGCTTAGTAGGGTTTTGTAGATAGAGGATGCTCATGGCTATGGCGGTGGACAACGCAGGTACGTGGGGGAAATGTAGCGTTGCCGGCAGCAGTTCTTCGTCAAGAGGGCAGTCTCGGAAGAAGCTGGGCTGTAAGGAAATCTCGAGCACTCCACTGAGAAACGAGTTTTTGGCACTCCGCAAGAAGAGCAGCCGATGCTCTGTAGTGTCTGCTTCGACGAGCTCGACCTCTCCGGAGAGCTTTGATAAGAGGAAGCTATCCGAGGCAGTCAGCAAGTTAGAGCTCGCTGAGACGGTGAGCGCCACTAGCTACGGACAGCTCTTGCGTGCCTGTGGCGAGCTCAAGGCTCTGGAAGAAGGGAGGAGAGTCCACGCACACATCGAGAAAAGAGGCATGGACAAGGACTTGTACGTGCGGTATAGTTTGATCCGGATGTATCTCAGGTGTAGGGGAGCCTCTGGACTGGCCGACGCCAAGAGACTGTTCTTCAGCATGAAACGCAGGGATGTCATACTTTGGACGGAGATGATCGGTGCTCACGCGCGACTGGGACAGTCCGACGCTGCTCTTGAGCTGTACAAGCGGATGAGAGTGGAAGGGGTGATGCCAAACAAGGTGACGTTTTTAACGCTTCTTGGAGCTTGCTCGAGCCGGGAGAAGCTGCCTGATGGGAGGGTCGTCCACAAAAGGATAGTCGAGCAGGGACTAGAGTCAGACGTAGCAGTGGCCAACGCTTTGCTCAAGATGTACATTGCGTGTGGATCGCTTGAGGATGCGAGCAGCGTTTTTGAGGCTATGAAGCAGCGGGATGTGGTGTCGTGGACGACGATGATCATGAGTCATGGACAGGATGGGACGGGAAAAGAGGCCGTGAAGCTCTTCAGAAGGATGCTCGTGGAAGGACTCAAGCCCGATTGCATTGCTTGCGTTGCTCTCATCAACGCTTGCGCTAGCGGGATGGTGCTGGACGAAGGAAGGTTCATCCACAGCTGTGTCCGTCGCAGTGGTTTCTACGAAGATGTTTCGGTGGGAACTAGTCTGATCAACATGTACGGGAAATGCGGTAGCGTAGAAGAGGCCAAGGCTGTCTTCGACGAGTTCTCGAGCTCACATACCAGCGTCGTTTTTTGGACTGCGATGATGGCAACTTACGCACAAAACGGTCGCAGCGAAGCCCTCCATCTCTTCAGAGCAATGCAGCTACAAGGCATCAGGCCCAATGAGATGACATTTGCGACAGTGATGAACTCTTGTGCCAACTATTCTACTCTTGAGGAAGGCAGAGCAGTTCACGCTTTGATCGTGGAGAGTGGGTTTGACAGTGATCCCGTGGTTGCGAACTCGATCGTAACCATGTATGGAAGGTGTGGAGAACTGGTGGAAGCCGGGAGGATGTTTGACAAGATGCTCGTGAGGGAGGCCAGTACGTGGAACGCGATGATCACAGCTTGTGCACAGCACGGCCTCTGGGATGAGGCTCTCAAGCTTTTCTACCGGATGAAGCAGCTTGGGGAGAAGCCGAACAACATCACTCTTGTGGGAGTACTATCGTCTTGCGCTCATGCTGGACTGGTGGAGGAAGGATGCAAGAGCTTTGCGACTATGCACGACTATTTCGGGGTCAGGCCAACATTGCAGCACTATGGTTGCATGGTGGATCTCCTAGGCCGTGCGGGATGGCTGCGCGAGGCAGAAGAGATGATCAAGACCATGCCGTTCCAGGCCGATGCTGCGATGTGGACGGCGTTTTTTGGCGCGTGTAAGACTCATGGAGACGTGGAAGGAGCTCGTCGCGCTGCCGAGGTTGTCATGGAGCTGGAGCCGAATAACACTGGAATGCTGGAGTTTTTGAGAGCCCAGAGCTTCTCGGAATCGGCTTCAAGCACAGAGAGTTCGGAAGAACAAGAAGCAAAGGCTGGTGAGCTAAAGAAAGATGCGTGCTTGCAGCCAGGTTCCAGCACAGAAGAAGCTGATCTGCAACCGGCGAGCACTGAAAGCGCAGCACCAGATGAACCAGTTCGTGGGAAGGCGAACTTAGACGCCGAAGAAGAAGAAAGTGAAGAAATGGGAGAGAACATGGAGCCTGCTTCGATCATAGACAACACAGGCAAACAACGAGAAGGCAAATCAGCTTGCTTAGAGGCAGCAGATGACATGGAAGACCAGCATCCGGATGGTCCAGGCGAAGCACTGCTTCACTCATGGGATTCACAGGCTAGCAAAGAAGAGAACTCACGATTGAGTGAAACCGTGACCGAGTTCTCCGACGCTACAGCAGCTCCGGAACAGCTCTCAGAGGCCAACTCCAGAGATGAAGTTCTTTCCATCAGTCCAGGAGACGCACAATCGCCAGGCGTGCCGGACCGGGCGTCCAACGGCAGTGCCAGGGATTCAAGGTATCAAGCGGTACAGGAACTAGACGACTGCTCCTCACTCACAGAAACTCGTGAAGACCATCCGGACGAAGAGCCTCAAAACGGCAGCGCTAATCAACGGCCGAGGGAGGCTTTGCGAGAGATGGACGAAGAGTTTCGGGGATTCGTTCATGGAGATCTTTCTGGAGGTTTGGCAAGGCGGCTGCTGTGGCTGACGGTGATGGCGGTAACGATTCGAGGGAACGGGCTATGGTCTTTGTGCGTTGCGCTCGCAAGCCATGCCAAGCTGTGATCGTGGACTTCCATGTTAAGAAGGTTGGATTGGATGAGAGATGGAACTTTCATTTCTTTCTTCTTCCTTTATTGAGACTTGGCTTTGCTAGAACTTGATTTTAACGAAATTCGTACAATAGGTAAATTGGTCTCCCAATTGAACGTAAATGGTCTCTCCAAAACAACAACATAAGTCCTTCACAACAAAAGGGAAACCTTGTCTATCAGGTCATAAAATTTGACTACGGATGGACGTCCTCTATCCCACAGCTTTAAATCACATAACTTGCAGAAGCTGACCATTAGGTACCGGATTAGAATGCACAAATTCAAAATCATGCGTAACAAAATCAGTCTCTAATGCTGAACAACCGGGAGTCAACTGAAGTGTGTTGACCATGTACTTTCAATAAAAGTGACCTCAAAATTTAGCAAGGTCTAGCTCTTTACGTTATTTCAGTCCAAAAAGGTTTAAAAGCATCTTTCCAGAATCTAGGAGGAATATGATGCGATTTACGATTTACACGAAGAATTGAAGACGAGGAGGAGTAGCAGGAAGAAGACGCACGAGATGGGCCTTCAATTTTGAAACCTTGCATTTTTTTAGATCGAAATAAGACCAGAAAAGGGTGTTTATGTTTTACTTCAAAACGTAGAAGGGTTGTTTCTCGCTTCCAGCTTATAGAAGTTTCCGTCATAGAAAATTCCACCTTTTTAAGTGTTTATAAGGACACACTACATTTCCAAACTTCCATGGAGCACATCACAGTTTTTTTCGCCTTCTTGGCTTCTTTCTTCTTGGTGATCTTCTGCTATGATCGATCTAAATCACGCAGCTCCCATGTCATGCCTCCAAGCCCCCGGGCCTTTCCAATCCTCGGCCACATTCCACTCCTGGCCAGCACTTCCCGCGGGCCACATCTCATCCTCTTCGATCTCGCCAAGAAGCTCGGCCCGATCTTCTACCTCCGCCTGGGCTACACCCCCACGATCGTCATCTCCTCAGCCAAGATCGCCCAAGAGATCCTCAAGTCCCACGACAGGACCTTCTCCTCGCGGCCATCGCTCACGTTTGCCGAGGCGATCCTCCCAGACGATCTCGTCTTCGCGCGCTATGGCGCGAGATGGAGGGAGCTCCGCAAGATCTGCACGCTCGAGCTCTTCACCGCGCGCCGCGTGGGGAGCTTTGCGGCAGTGAGGCAAGTGGAGATGGAGAAGTTCCTGGCGATGCTCTCCCAGAATCTGGGAAGAACGGTGAACATGACCCAGGAGCTCACCGTCCTCACCTTGGAGATCATGCAAACGCTCGTGTTTGGGACGAGCCGGACCTTCGATGCCAAAGATTTCCTCCACTTGATCCGCCAGGGGAACGAGCTGGGCGGGAGCCTACACATCGGCGATTACATCCCATCGCTAAAATGGATGGATCCCTCGCTGCCCAAGCTGAGGATCTTAGCAGATAATTTCCATGGCTTGCTTCAAGCACACATTGAAGAGCACCGATCCTCTATAGCCAAGCAAGGACATGGCGGCGAGAGCTTCCTGGACGTCTTGCTCTCGCTCGACAACATGTCAGATCTTACCATCCGGTGCCTCATGCTGGTAAGACTGGGGGTTGACTTGAGTGTTGACTAACTCGCTGGCCGCTCTTGCTAGGATGCTGTGAGTGCAGGGCTGGACACGACTGCCACAGCGATAGGATGGGCTCTCACGGAGCTACTTCTTCATCCACAAATCTTGGCAAAAGCCCAGAAGGAATTGGACGACGTGATCCCTGCTAGTAGCGCCATGGTGAGCGAGGCCGACATTCCCAAGCTCAAGTACCTCGGCGCGATTGTCAAGGAGACCCTGCGCAAGCACCCTCCGGCGCCACTCATGGTTCCACGCGAATCCACCGCCGAGTGTAAGGTAAGTAGTCTAAAAGGTTTGATCCTCGCTAGATCTCTGAATTTGTTATCAACGTGTATGAAAGCTTGAAGAAGCTGGCTACATGATCCCAGCCAAGACCCAAGTGTTGATCAACCTCTACGCCATCGGCCGGGATCCAAAAATCTGGGAGAACCCTCTGGAGTTCATCCCGGAGAGGATGAGCAGCGAATTCAATGCGGCCGTGGAACTCATGACGTTTGGCTTTGGCCGGCGATCCTGCCCGGGGATGAACTTGGGGTTGACTGCTGTTCATCTCGTTCTTGCCAATCTTCTCTACAGGTTCAACTGGACAACACCGGATGGTAAAGAGGTGGACGTGGGCGAGGGGGTCGGGTTCACGCTCATGCGGGCTCGTCCACTTGCATTGGTTCCACTTCTCCGCAAGTAGTCAAACATATTGACTATAATAAACAGAGTGTGTTTATTAATTTTGCTTTGTGCGAAGGTTAGATTGGAAGCTCCTAATCTGCCATGATCCTGGTCCAATGGGCTTCGGTTCAGTTCTCAGGCAATTATCTCAAAAGATCTACCAGGGCAAAGATCTTGATTTCTTCCTCTCTCTAATCTGTTCTGGTCTTACTTTGCACAAGCTTTGTTTGGATACTGGGCCCATTTTTGGGCTCCAGCATGTGTAAATGAATGGATATATTTAGAATATACTAGCAATGAATGTAGCTATTACACAAAATTAAGTCTTCAAAGATGTTTTTTGGATTTCAAACTGTTCATGGTTGCAAATTTATTTAAAAAAAGAACAATGCACCAAGTTCCTTCTTTTATTACCATTACTATTTCCCTTCCTGCTTTGCTTGCACTAACTTCTTATAGCTCTTATGTGAATTTCTCTTTAAGAGTCTAAAGACAAATTAGTTTGTCAAGAGGTAAACCATTACAAGGAAATGGCTCACATTTTTACACTTTACTGCTTTGTCCAATTCTAAATTTCTTTAGTAGTGATCCCATATAACATCATCAACTCAATAATGCTTTGGCAATAGTTAAGTCCTTAGGATTAACTTTTGCATTTCTGCTCAGAATAGAAAGACAAGTATTGCTTTGGTCATATTGATGGATTTTTAATCAAGGACTGAGCAAGCTTGCAAGTGCCTCAATTGCAGAGACATGGAATTGAAGGGACTCATGACACAGGCAGGAGCAACAATTCTCTGGACATAATTGTGGCTGCCAAAGCTGCGTGTTGGATTGATGAGATCTCATCAATCCAGAGAATTGGCAGAAGGCTTGAAAAACTGGAGCTCTGGTCAGAGGTTCCATTTCCAAATCTATAGGAAATTTTGATTCTGATTGTAACATTCCTTAAGAATTTCCTCAAGAGACTCTACTTACTGGCTCAGACCTGATTGAAAACTTTCATACTTGAACCTTGATGCATTGCTCATCCAAAGAACCAATAGAACAATGTCGTAAGTCCTTGTTGTCCAACCAACAGCATCCTATAAAAAAACTAGAGCACATGCTCATTCTCAATGAAAGACCAACTTGTAACTTCTGTGTTCTAAAGTTTTCCACATAAATTTTAGCAGTCGTTACTCAGTCATGCTAGACAAATTTCTCATTGAAAATGAAGAGAGAATGGTGGATTCTTGCCTTGAAAAACAGGGATTCTCCAGAAGTCTATCTCAAAAAGTGACATTCTCTACCATGCTTTCTCGAAAGTTGGAAGTTTCTGCTAATAACGTCTCTTTAAAAATAAAACACAAATATACAGTGCTGTACCTCAGCTCTTACTTCTTTGAAAATATGAACCAGCCGCTCGCTGTCGGGCACACCTCCAGTGCTACTAAACTCTTCGATTGCATCTCCCAGCGCAATGCTGCGACCTGGAACATGATGGTCCATGCCTACGCCTTGTGACTCTTCTTTGATCAATGCATTGGTGATCACATTTGCCAAGAGCCGCTGTGCAGTGGAATTTGTGCAATCTGACATATAGAGCTCCAATCTGAAGAAGATCTTTGATTCCATGCCGGATCATGATGTGGTCTCTTGGATCTCGCTCATTTATGCCAAGAACACGTTTAATTGGGTGGAGTTTCACGATCTTGTCTCGCAGATCTCGATGCTCATTGGATATGTGGCGGTATTCTGGATCAGCAACTGCCAGGCTATCTTGCTGCCTGGTGTCTCTGAGGCCGTGACTCAATTATCACAACACTTGGCAAGTCGAGGCAGTGAAATCGACCTTTGATCGAATGCCAAGGATCTCGTGTCATGGACAAATCTACTACTGTGCTACGTTCAGAATGGATTCCTCGAAGAATTGACAGGGCATTCCGTCATCTTCCCTTCACTAATGCAGTGCAAATTGGGCATTTTGATGAGGCCATGAGGTTCTTTCACTAGATCCCATGCAAGACCATTGTCTGCTGGACAGCTTTCACACAAGTTTATGTCAACTTGGACAATCTCAAAAATTTTGAGAGCATGAAGATGTGCAGCTTGGTTTCCTGGACGACAATGGTTTGGGCTTACGCTCTAAACATGCATGACAATCAAGCAGTGCAACTTATCAATCTCAAGGGCATCAAGATGGAAAAGGTGATGTCATGGCTGAGGGCTGTCGTACACTTTTGTTAAATATTAAATTCTTCTGGGTTCAATTTATAGTCATGCCTGTGACATTCACATGCTAATCTGCAATGGTAATAAGGTCAAAACACATAGTGAATGAGACAAATTATTTCAATACCATTAGTGTATCATTTAAACCACAACTATCCACAACAATTATCTCAACACTGTTGTAGGACAAGTAAATCATCTTAATCATAACGGCTTCAATTGACCCAACCATATTACGTCCTTTGTGTAATTTGATAAAATTTGTGACAGAAGATACATAGAAGGTTCTAGACTAACTACTTCAATGACAGTTAAGTGACGAACTTTTAACACATATCTCCATGTTCATCTATCATACTTTAGTACTGCTAGGACAACTTCAAATCCAACTATCTTCAACCACTTTTCTTTTGCAAATTGCTGGTACAGCGGGATACATCCACATACTGATAGTTTCATTATTTGTGAAATCAGCCATATCAATTCGTAGTCGACTACCTCTGGATGTAGATGTATTTTTTCCAAGGCCATAATAGTTAAGAGTATAGCAAGGAAACATTAAGTTCTCATTATCACGTGTATATCTACACGTCTTCTATGGCCATAACTGATTTAAATCGACTGAAATTACTTGCATATAATTATTTTTACAATGC